AGCAGCTGCCTTGCTAGCTGCCATATGGGAGCAGCTTGCATTACCCTCCCTTCCCAGTACATCTCCCTTGACCCCCAAATGGCTCCCCAGCAACCCCCCAAAAGTGTTTTTCAGACCTCCCAGGACAGAGCTCACGTCCGCCATGAGACACCAGCTGTCCCTGGAGATCCTGCACCTGGAGGAACAGTCTTGTACAGAGGGAGCCAGGTAAAGGTGAGAACAGCAGCCACCTGGAGCACAGCAAGCTCCTCGTGCACACAGCAGCCCTTCAGATAATGGAAAGCACTGATAGGTACCAGGTGCGACAGCCTTGATGCCACCACACCTGTCTCTGGGGTCCCTCCCTAGGGTCTGCCCTGGTCCGTCTGCATTTCACCGAGCCAGTGGAACTGAGTGCTCTGTCCAGGTACACTCAGGATGGACAGGGCATGGCCAGTGGGCCACTCACCAGCCAGCCCCAAGGCAAGGGTCTGGGGTCTGTGACATCAAGGAAAGACATAGGTAGAGATGGTTAGCACTCCTCAACTATTCTAGATGTTCCTCCATATCTCTTAGCCTCCCTCACTTTTGTTTGGACCACGTTGGGTAGTTCTGGCCACTAGACCTTGTGCGGAAGTGATGGGTGTCAACTCCAAGTGGAGACAGTGAAGGGCTGGGGAGCCATCTCTGCCCCCACTCCCACCTGCACAGTGACTTTGAAGGTCATGTGTTGAAGTTGGCCTTCCTGCAACATGTAGGAGAACTGCCGAACCCATCAGACACTGACACAGCAGGAAAGAAACTTTTGTCGTCTGTTCTAAGTCACGGGGAGGTGGAGTTTATTGTTACAGCAGCCTGAACCTGGCCCGTGCTGACTGAGGGAATCAGAGCTGGTCTGCAGTCCTCCTGATCCCTGTGGAGTGTGTAGCCACCGGCAAACATCTTACAGCTTGTGAGCCTCAGGTCTTCCATGAGTGGGGAATGACATCTCCTTTATGGGGCTGTTGTTGAGAATTACATGAGAAAATGCATGACGAATGCCCAGCACAGAAAGGACTCAGAAGACGATGCCTGCCATCTTGCTTCATATATACTCTGTCATTTAATACCCATTTTACAGATTAATAAACTAAGGTTCCAAGAGAAACTAAGGTTTTCCCTGTAAGTTACAAAACAACTGAGTCACAGAGACGGGGTGGGAACAGGAAGCCAGTGAAATTCCAACGCCTGGAGGTTGGGCCCGGAGCCAGCCATGCTGTGTGACAATATGATGCCAGGTAAAATGTTTCTGCCCCGTCCTCTTGCTTGGGGTTCTGACCTTTTCCAACTGGGTTCAGTCTTTCTCTCTTGACCCAATTTTCTTGGCCGAGCAGCGGAGAGCTCTGTGTTATCTGGAGGGTGTTGGGCTTGATAATATTCAATGTCAAGTCTTTTCAAGTTCTGACCCTAGACATGGGCGTGTGTGTTTTCTCACGTGGCTCTCAAACTCTTTCTGGGTCCCAGCCCAGTCCTGGGCGGAGAGAAATCAACTGGCTGAAGGTGGGCCCATTGCGCCCTCTGGTGGCCACCACCCATTGGAGGCCTGGTCTGCACTCCTGGCCAAGGTCAGAATGAACGTTTTGGTAGCTCTGGACGTTCCCAGGTCAGGTCAGGCTCTACGGGGGCTCATCCCCACAGCGGTTGGGTTTGGAGAAAATCTGAGTGTCCACTGTCCCCATGCTCTTGGGGGTAGTGGAGCTTTCTAATCCTTACCCAACACTCCTGAACTCAGCACCTTGCTTTTGAAGTCCTAGTTACACCCTTTCTTCCCTGGCAAGTCATTTCACCTCCTGGAGGCTGTTGCCTAAGTGCTCCTCTAGCGGGAATAGTGCCTCTTGCCAGAATTGTTGCAAGATTAAACGAGACGAACGGAGGCGAAACACTGAGCCCCAATTGATGGCATACAAAAGGGAGCCACGGTCGATATTAATAATCGGCCACTTTTCGTGGTGTTGCCTCTGGCTCCCTGCCCCTCCCTCCCTTCCCCCGCACCCCCTTTAGCCTGTGACCTTCTGTGGGCAGAGACCTTGGCTGGCCCATCTCTGTGTCCCCAGCCACCAGTGGCCCTCGTACCTATTTGTCCAATGAAATGTGTGTATACATAAAGTGTTAGTTTTCACGCGCTCCTGTGAGGCAGACAATCAGGAATCATCACTCCCACTTTACAGAGACGGTTCAAGTTCGGGTCCAGGCCTTTGGCTCCGGGACCTGTGGGTGCCCATGATCCAGCAAAGCCTTCTCTTCTTGGGGGACTTAGAACGAAAAGGAATCTTCTAGCAATCCACAAATCTACACTGACTATAGCTCTCTGTTTCAGGAGAGGCAGCCCAAATGTTACGAAACAAGGAGGGGAAGGAGTTCTCAGAGTTTGTGGGTGCCACAGGAACTTGAACCTGCTCTGTGGATCTAAAGGTGCCCTCAGGGCAGCCAACGTTCATAGCTGTAGGTTATACGTAAGCACCCTCTCTGGAAGTCTCCAGAAAGGAGGTTCTGAGCGGATTGATAGTAATCATGACCCTTGAAGGTCTCTTGTGTACCAGAAACTGTGCCAGGCATGTGGCATCACAGGGGGCTCCCGGTCCTGCAAAGAGGCAGGCTCTCTGCTCTGACCTGTGAGACGCACCTGGGGCAGGTACGCCTACGGCTGCTCTTGTCCAGCTCCCGGCAGCAGCGTGCTGGGTGAGGACCGGTCTCTATGGGCCCACGTGCTATTTCTGGACTTCGCATGCCTCCACCCAAAACCATTCTTTGCTGCATGTGCTGTCCCCTTACAACGCTTTCCCCTTTCTTATCCAGGGTACCCACCACCTTGCTGCCTGCCCTCCCTCATCCTTGGCAGGCTGCACGTTAAGTGTGATTCTAACCAAATTGTACCCTTATCCCAGTGACTTTAGTGTCCCCATGGACCTCCCTGGGTGCCCACTGACCCCCACGTCCTCCCTTCACCTTCTCTCCATTACCTGGAACGACCTCTGCCTTGAAGGCCACTCATTCACACACCTCATGCCCACAGCCTTCCAGCTCTCAGAATAATTTCTGCAAACGGCCTTTGTCCTGACAGCCACAGGACTCCAGCTATCCTCCCTGCTCCGTAGTCCGCTGGCCTCTCCTCCTCCCACAGCCTCCTCACTTCAGCCACTCCCTTTCCAGGCTCTGCACCTCCTCGCCTCCTGGTTCTTCTCTCCCTGCACCTGGATGGCGGCTGAGCAAAGCTGCCCCGCTCACAGGTGAGGCCCCTCCGGATTCATCACCCCCAGCCCTAGCCAGGCCCTCAACACCAGCCAACCCCTGGACTTGCTCTTCACAGTCAGCCTGCCCTTGTCACCCACTTGCAAACCCTTCTGGACAGCCCTGCATCCTTCTGCCTCCCCTTGGCATACGACCTCCCCTGACCCCGAGGAGAAAACGGAGCTCTCAAATGGCTTATGTGGGAAATATCATTGTTGAATCTAGAGAATGGACAAATGGGGCTCGTACATCCTTTCCATCCTTGCGTATGTTTAAAAATCCTTACGCTGCACCATAAAATTAGAAACCCCCTTCTCAGGGAATTCTTTTCCATTCCATTAGCTCTTCGTTGAACAGTCAAGCACGTGTTTGGAGCAGCCTGATGGGTGTTCCCAGGAGGACTTTCCCAAGGTTCCCAGGACCAAACCCCGGAGGACCTGCATTTGTGGGGGAGTGAGGAAGGTGCAGAGCAGGGGGGCTTCCGCATTTAGTTCCTGTATCTCGGCACATACCTGGAGGGTCCTAGAGAAATGCCTTTAGATTTTCAGCGTTCTCTGGCTAATTCCGTTCCCTTCCCTGGGCTCTGGCCCTGAGGCCAGGGTGTGATGGGCTCTCTCAGGCAAAGCTCTCCCACTGGCGCCTGGCCGTGCGTTGCTACCTCCCGGCCACCTGTCCACATTGCAGCTTGATGTGCTATCAACCAGGGATGAATTTGGGGTTGCTGGGTCTCTCTCTGATGGGGGTGGAGGGATGGGAGCATGTGTTAACAATAGACGAGCGTATAGTATAATCACTTAATTCTCAACACGTTTCTATGGTAGGTCCTACATCATCCCAACTTTATTCGTGACATCAGGCACAGAGAGGTTAAGTAACTTGCTCACACTCACACAGCTAGTAAGGAGGTACCCAGGCAGCCTGGCTCCAGGACCCCTGTGGTACTGTCTGCACCGTCCTGCCACTAGGGGCTGCCTTCAGGTCACCACAGAGAAACTTCTCATGTCCTCAAGAGGCAGCAATGACAGGAAGCCCTGGGTCTCGAGAGGGAAGGCTCCGTTTGAACCCCACCTCTGCCCTCCACTGGCCTTACTTCTACACCTGTCCCTCACATGGAAGCCCGGCACCCACTCACTGGACCTGCAGGGCTGTTGTCAGCGCTCACGGCCATGCCCAGGGAGGTGTCATGCAGACTGGAAAGTGCCACTCAAATTGGGAGGCATTGTCATTTACACCCATTTTACATTACAGAGTCCCCATACTGGGTTGGCAGATTTATTTTTTAAAACGAAATGGGGGATTTCTGCCAACGTGGGACCAGCACTTGGCTCCATCCATGGTTGTGACCATCTGTTAGGAAAGGATGGGTCCTAATTGCCCACGTTAGGCCCTGGCCACGGCGATTTCACTCAGAGAATGCCCGGAGCAGCTGGCATGAATCCCCTTGGGCCTCCTGACGTGCTTTTATTCTGGACCTCACGTCGCTTCTCACGGCTGGGAGGGGCACCCATTTCACAGATGAGGCATCTGAGGTTGAGAGGTTAGGCGACTCCCTGCAGTCACACAGCAGGGGGAGGCACAGCTGTGTCTGAGGAGAGGCTCACTGCTGCTCTCCTGAACTTGGTAAGGGTGGACGCTACCACAGGGGGCCCCCAGGACACAGTGTTGTTCCTCTTTAGAACTGAAAACACCCCCTGAATGGACACTGTGAGGGACACTGTGGCATGGCCTTCCCAGGAAAATGACAAACGCATCCAAACGATAAAATAGCTCTTTTTATTCACTTTGATTCAGATCACTGGAAATGTTCAACAATAAATAAAACGAAGCAGAGGCTGAGGAAGGCGACTCTTGCTAACTTCATTCAAAACGCATCCAGATTAACGCTCAGCTGCAAAACACAGGAACAGGGCTGGAGGGTGGGGGGCGAAGGTGAAGGGAAAAACCAAATTTTAAACCACCACCAACCAACCAAACTAGATTGCCAAGAAGAAAAAAGTGCTCAGGAAACTTTGGCTTTGATGTGAATTCAGTAAAATGCTAGCTCAATCGGGCACCATGTCATCCTGGGGGGGCCGGGTTCCTGACACAGGCCTGGCTTAAAGCTGGCATCTGGCTCAGGGCCCTGGGCCAGGGGACCACAAGCGGCAGTTCTGGTCTATGACCGAAGCTGTGCAACACGAGTCTGGATCTCCGATGGGCTGGGAGGGGGCATCCGGGGGAGTGGAAGCAGGTGGGCTGCCTGTAGGAAGCACGGGGCTCTATCTTAAGAAAGAGTTGCTAATAGTCTGATGTTGATCAAATGCACTCTCCCTGCCTCTGCTGTTCCTAAGCTCCTTTTCCTTGCACAGAGGTGTCACATGGTGCTCCCGGGGTCCTGGAGCTGGTGTTTTCATGATGACAAACAAAAGGAAGAAAACTGAATCAATCTCGAAACTTAGCCCAAGCCCCAGGGAAGGGTACCAGCTGGTGGCCTGTGGCACATTTGCTGCAAACCAGGTGTCCACAGTGGACATGATGGCGACCCGAGCTCTTTGGAGGGGAGAGGACAGTTGCTGGTTCCTGATGGCACATGGCCGGTGTCCAGCCATCTTAAGCTGGACAGCAGTCAGTCAGGGCTTGGGCTTCCTTGGGAAAGTGTTTCCTTCACAACCAGGCGCGCGGCAATGAGTTGACCAATGAGGCAGGTTAAGCTCTGCAGAGGCTATGAGACTTCCGTTTTCCATTTGATTCGTGTTCAGGCTGCTTTGAAGAGAACGGTGAAAGCAAACAACACAGTTCTAAATACTCTGATCCTAGTCCACCTATGACCCAGAGGCCCAGCTCACGTCGAGGTAGGACTGGCGTCTTGCTGTCCCTTCTGGCCACCACCACAGAGTCTGGGATGCCATCCAGCCTCCGGACCCGCCCTCTCCGTGTGCAGTGCCCTCCCCGCCTGCTTGTCTGGCTCCCCCGTTTTATGTCCTATTTTCTCTGATCTGGTTTCTCCCACTGCGCCCAGCCCAGGTGGCTTGCTGGATAGTCACTGATGTAGCCAGGTTTTTCAAAAGGGCATCAATGTGAGAACTTTCTTCTCTGCCTCCAGTTGCTCCTGGAGCCAGAGGCTACAAACCCACCTCCGTGTGCTTCCATCAGGTGGTTGAGGATGGGGGCCCAGGGGGATGTGGGTGCAGGTGTGGGTCCTGCTCCTTGCTCACAGAGGGGGACCGGAATACCAGGCTGCTGCTGAGATCTCTCTCCCTCATCAACCCCGGCGCCTGCAGCTTCAGGCTCAGCACTGATTGCTGCAGGCAGAGATACCTCTGCTCCCTGTCCGGCGCCTGGGGCTGGTCTCCAAGGAGCTCTCTACCTGTGGGATGGAGGAGCCCTGGGCTGGCATCCAGGGGCCCGAGGAAGCCCAGCTGTGTGTGGTGGACATGCCGGAGCCTCCGCGTTCTCCTGGCGACACACGCCCATTGCCCCGTGGGAAACGCTTCACCCGGTTCTCAGCCACCTTTATCCCAGGTATGGGTCCTCATTGGCTTACATCACTGAGTGCATTTAATCCCAGCCACAATGACTGGCTTTCTTTCTTTCTTTTTTTTTCTTCCAGTTACGTCCCCGTTGCTAAGCTCATGAGACACAGAGATGTGTGTTCGGGATATAGGAAGAGTGAAATGTTGTCTCCTCCTCTAGAGGGATGAGAAGGTGGAGATTTCAGCTTGCCCGGGCCACTGTGGGCAGCCGGAGGAGGCAGCCCAGGGGCAAGACAGAGCAAAGGCTGAGGCCGAAGCCCGGTGACAGCGCTTTGAGAAGCTGGGCGGAGCCTGGTTGGGAAAGCTCACCTCTGGGCGTTTTCAACCTGGAGCAAGAAACATCTTATTTTTGCTCACAATGTTGGACTTGTGCTATCTGTCACCAACTGGTTCACTTTCGCAAGTCACTTCCCTTCTCTGGGCCTTGCTTTTTCTCATCTGCAAAATGGGTATTCTGAGGGCTGAAAGGCATCTCACCGCTTGAACAGCCTAGTGGGAGGGAGGGAGGGAGGGAGAGAGAGATGGGCAGGGGCTAGGTGGCTGACCCAGGCAGTGTGCAGCTCAGCTGGGGACACCTCCTCTCTTTGGGCACCTGCTCTCTCAGCAAAGCCCAGAAGCTCTGATTGCTCGCTCTGAACCTGACCTGCCTGAACAGACGCAGCTTGCGGGAGAAGGGGAGCACGCAGGCGTCAGCCCACACTGCTCGCTTTTCCCAAGGTTTGTCCCAGGATTAATCAGCCAGCCACCGGACGCTTGCTGAGTTCCTCACCTCACGTTCTGCCACGAGCTCTAGCCTTCCAGGATTTGACCTCACAACAATTTACAAGCCTTTATCAGTCAAGAGAGTCTTAAGCTTTGGAGGACTTCAAAGCTGGAACAGGATTTCTTTCTGTTGTTTGTTTGTTTTTAATGTTTTCTGGATTCGGAGCCTTTGAGACTCTGACAAAAGCTACGGAGCCTTTCCCCAGGAAGATGCTCATATGTACAGACAGAGAAAAAACAAACATGGCATGCAATTTCTGGGGACTCTTATGAACTGCCTGACACCATCTGTGGCCCCTGAGCACCCACAATTCTCCCCGCCCACCTTGTTTGCCGAGGGAGAAACTGAGGCCAGGACGAGCAGGGCTGACCAGGGCCCTGTGGGGAGCAGAGGGAGCAGGCCCTTGGCTTCTGAGACCGGCCCCCTTCACACTCCACCAGGAGCCTGTCACCCCCCCTCAGAGTAGCAGTGGCCTTTTGGGAAATGCTCTCAACAGGAAAAGTGGTTTTTCTGGTTAAATGTCAGTAACTGGAGCCAACCTTCACTGTCCTCCTACGCCTGTGACTCCACTCCCCATCTGGCCCCAAGGAGGTTCCACGGGGTGTTTGGAGAGTCTTAGCCTGAGACTGAATCCAAGTTCACAGGTAAAACAAAAGAAGGTGGGGTGAAAAAGGAGGTACAGAGCATTCCACAAGCCCACCCACCTGACACCCCAGGATCTGCCCACCGACCGGTGAGCCCCCAAGCCCTAGATACCGCCAACACCCAAGCCTGAGGATGCCTATAAAGCTTGTTTTAAGCTCCCCACGCCCCAGCTGCCAGGTGGGGCAGGAGCTAACTTAATTAGAATCCCAGGACCAGCAATAGAGCCAGAAAGTGCACACGATGTCAGCTGAATTCAACAACAACAAAAATCAATAAATAATCAGGAAGGCTAATGAGGAAGAGTGAGAGGATGAGGTATGACTTCTCCTGTTCTGATGGTCACAGTTCTAGGATGGTCCCCGAACCTCCGGGACACCACGCAGGTGGCCAGCAGGGACTGGGCCCACAGCGTGAGCTTGGAAGGTTACGGGCACAAAATCCAACAGTCTGTGACAACAGAGTGACGTTCCGTGGTTCCTGCACCTCTGGGAGGTGTTGAGTATCATCCGAGCTTTGTTCTAACTCAGGAGCTGGCTCAGGAAACTACAAAAGATGTCCCCAGCTATGAAGCAAGGGGGGCCATTGCCAGGGGTCCCCTTTCCTGAATCGGGGCATCTGCCTCATTTCAGCCAATGCATGCATTTCTCCCCCCCAGTACAAAGGCACATGGAAGTAGTCAGATCTGCTCTCAGCCATAATTTTAACCGCAAGGATTGATTACTCGAGAAGAGCACATCAGCTTGGGAAGAAGACATCTGCTGGAGTCAGAAACACCTTGCCAAGCATGACGATCATTGGGGTGAGGACCCTCTCCCGACCACCATAAACGAGCTTTGGAAAGAAACGGAGAGATGGGCTTGTCACACCAAGTGAGAGGCCAGGCGTCGTGCAAAGGAAGGCGTCGTCTCGTCCCCAGTGCTGGCATGCATGGGCCCCGTGGTCCTGCCCTGGAGGCCGTCCTCACTCAGAAGCATCCCAGCAAGAACCAGGTTGGGAGTTAGCCCTGGGCCCCTCAGCAGAGGGACGTCTCTGCCCTTCCTCCCTGGGAGACTGTCCTTTCCTTTAGAACATGAGTGTCTTCAGTATCTGCTGCCCCCACGTCCTCCAAAGCCCAGATGACCGCCGTGCGTGGAGCACGAACCTCTCCCGCATGTCCCCACCTTCGCTTAGCGCTGGGACAGCAGTGAGCGTGTCTTCCCACCCACGCTGGTTCTGAGACTTGCTCTGAAGCCCTGGAAGGGCTTGGTGACCTTGCTGAGCAGATGCTGTCAAATGTTGGGGGATGCAAGAGGCTGAGAGGGGCACCTGGGCACACCCCTGGGGCTGGCCCTGGAGGTTCGCAGAAGGTGACGGCTCCGGCGAGAAGCTGGAGCTGACACGAGAGGTGCGCTCTGGTACATCCGTCCTTGACCCTTCGCAGCGTCATCTCCCCTTAAATATCCGGATTTTGTTGATGGACGCCAAGGTGGCTGTGACATTGGACTCAAAGTCTCCATCGTGCACCCCAGTTTTGCGGAAAGCCCCCGCCGATGGGTTGTTCTCCCAGTAGTGGTGCCAATTCCCTTTGCTGTCTGCCCCGAAGCCATACAAGTCCACCTACGGAGGGGGGGGAAGCAAAGGTGAGAACCAGACAGCAGGGCAACAGGTAGGACCTCGAAGAAAGGGAGCCTGCAGGCATTCCCAGAATCTGTCAACACCGTTTCCAAGAAACCCTTCTCTAGGTTTCTGGAACTCCCAAAGGCTTGGTGACGCGAAACTGAGTTAAGTAAAAGTCAAGTCTAATGTTGGAGACACAGTGGGAAGCTACGGAAGGTGAGTGGCGCCGAAGGTGCTGGATCTCACCTCTGGGGCAGGTACAGCCTCTCCTCTAAGGCTTGAGGAGCTAGGGAGGGAGAGCGTGGCATGGAGTGGAGGGCAGGGCTCGGAGGCCCAGCAGGCTGCCCCGCACCCCAGCTCTGCCGCTCGCCGGCACATCCTGCACGTGCCAGATCCCTTCTCTGAGCCTCACTTTCCTCATCTGGGAAATGGGGCCAAGAGTAATGTCTCCAGCGAGGCAGGTGGTAGGAGCTGTTCTTTTCTTCCCTGAGGCTGATAGTTATCTGGTCCAGGAGCCCTCACTGGCCAATAGGTGGGGGCCCCTCTTACACATGACAAACATTTACCGGGCGCTTATTCTGACCCAAGCACTGCACTAAACACATCAGAGTTCAGACAGACTCCTTTGTCAGGGCCACCTGGGTGGGTGCTGGGGAAATCGGGGACGCAGGAATCAGACCTCAGCCCTTGGCACTTAGAACTCATGTCAAGCACCAGCTGAGTGGCCCGTGAGGGGCAGGGCTAAAGTCAGGGCTCTGACAGCACAGAGGCGGGAGGGACAATGACCGGGAGGTCAGAGAGAGCGAGGCTGAGCAGGCGACACTGGCGTGTGGTCTTGGAGAATGAGTGGAAGATGCTCAAGAAGAAACATGGGGAGGGGCTTCCAGCGAGAGAAACGCCTTCTGGGCTGCAGAGTGCAGGACATATTTGAGGTGTGGGGACAGACTGGGGGCAGGGGACAGCTCTGTGGCAAGTGCAATTATTTTAGTCAGTGCCAGCGTGGACATGGGTGGCCCCAGAGCAGCGGGGAGGAGATGGGGCAGCGTTTCTGAGGCAGAGCCCCGTGGGGTCTGTGAGCAGCTGGCTGGAGGAGAGGGAGATATGGTTTTTGGGAGGGAAAACCCAGGTTTCCTGCTAAGAGACAGGGATGGTGACAGGACAAGCGAGGCTGGGGTGGTGGACATGCCTGGCAGCCTCCCTGAGACCTCTGGCCATGAGCCAGACAGGGTGGGGGTGGGGACGGGCTGTATGTGAGAAGAAGGGACATCTCGGTGCCCTGCCTGAACCCAGGGCCAGGGAGGAGTGGGGGGCACTGTGGCCCCTCTCCTGCTCCTTTGCCCAGGGTGGCAGTGAACAGTCCAGAACATAGATGGAAACCTGGCACCGTCGGGCAGGCGGCGAGGCAAGTCCATGATGGGGAACACACGCCTGCCAAGGTCACCGGTTCTCAACCTGGGTGGACAGTGGAACCCCTGGGTGCCTGGTTCTCTCTCAGCAATGCTGGGGAAAGTGGCCTGGGTGCTGAGATTCATGATGATTCTACCGAGCAACCGAGATCGAAACGACAGCCTTGCGCAAGTCTCCTGTTATAATCTGCTCCTTTATTTCGCCCCCAAATCTGAGCTTCTACCCATTGGTCCTGGCTCTGCCTTACACAGACCTCTGAGGACTTTCCGGTAGAACACCACGACTGCCTCCTGAAAGCGCGGTGTGGAGAGAAGGAATCTGAGCTCCCAGCAGGGTGGGCTACGTGGGGGCCTGGGGTCAGGACACTCGCCCCGCCTCTCTGGGGAACGCAGAATGAGAAGCCCTGGTCCCCAGGGCGGCCGGTGTGGGCACAGCGGAGGGTGGCATACCTCATCACAGATGTGCAGGGAGAAGATGACGGAGAGGATGCCGGTAGAAGGGTACCGCCCGTGGCCCCTCAGCCAGCTGTCGAAGACGTACTTGATGAAGGCCGGGTGGTATATCAGGATCTGCAGGAGGGGGACACGTGGCTCTTAGGGAGTCGGCTGGTGAAGGAGGCCACACACCTACCTATCGGGGGCCGTGGGGGACACCGCGCTCATGCGGTTAATGCTCTAGCGGGAAAAGACGGACAGTGACCTAAATCATGATGAGACGGAAGGTGCTAGAAAAGAACTATGGGATTATGGAGAGAAACAGAGCAGAGAAAGGTGATCAAGCCCTGGGGTGAGAAGGCTCGCTGCGAGGGTGACATCTGAATAACAATCAAATATGGCCAGGGTGTGAGATATGAGGCTACAGGAGGAGGTTCCAAGGAACAGCAGCATGGGGGGGCAGGGGGGGACAAGGTAACTCCTGTTACTGCAGGAGAACACCGGTACTGAGCCACCCGTTCCACCTGGTATGGGCCTGAATGACCTCCAGTCCATCAAATGACCCTGTGTGTAGCTTTCCCTCTCCTCATGTTACAGATGAGGAGACCGAGGCTCAGAGAGGCTTAGCAACGTGCTCAATGTCACACAGCCAGCAGTGGCAGAGCTGGAGGTGTCCTGGTATCAGGGGTGGATTTGGTCCCACCACCCACAGCTGCCTCGAGGACAGCAAGGGGACTTCTCAGGCAGCAGAGATCATGCACGTGCAGGGCGCCTAACACAGCCCCTGGAAAAGGACTGGAGGGGGGATTATGCACGATGGAGGTGAGCTCTTCAGCTCTCTGCCTGGCCTCGAGACGGGCTCTCTGGGCAGCTGTCCCTTCCACTGGCTCCGCCCTGTGGACTGACATGTGGCTTCTCCCCCAGGGCAGTGTGGCCTCACACAGAAGGCTGGAAGCACGGGGAGGACTCAGTTCTAGCATCATCACAAACTAGCTGTGGGTCCCCAGGCAAGTTGCCTGACCTTTCTGACCTCGCTCTCCCCATCTAAATACGAAAGTGTGTGCAAAGGCCCGGTGTGGTGGACACTTCACATCCTTCGTCCTTCTGGCCAGCCCTGTACCAGGGCCCACTAGGGGAGATGGAGCTATGGAGACACAGGTGAGATCTGGCTTTGAGAAGCTCACATGGTTGATTCTCAAGCTGCAGCCTCTTCAGCAGCCCTGGAGGCCTTCTGAGGACCCAGGGTCTCCGATTCAGTAGGGATGGGGTGGACTTGGGCATCTGCATCCGTGACAGTCTCCCAGGGGATGCTGCTGGCCTGGGGTTCCCCCCTTGGAGAAACTTTCCCAGGGTTGGTCTCTCCAGCAGGGCAGCGACGTGGTGGCTACAGCCTCCACCAGCCCAGGGGCCCAGAGACTCTCGGCCGGCACAGCTTGGCACAGAGGGAGACGGTGCTTTCTCTACCACCTTGCAAATGAGCCTGAGCCTCCACTCACCTTATCCTGTTGCACTTTGATCTTCTTGGGGACAGGAACGTAGGTGCTGTGGAGGAGAAAGCAGGTGGTTAATGTGGGAAGGGGACCGGGCTGCCTCCAGGCAGCTCTGGGGGGTGACACGGCAGACGGAGGGCAGGCGAGGCCGCGGTGGCACGCCATTCTCAGGGAAGCCCCGTCCCCTCCTGCAGCAGTGGCCAGTTACAGACACCAGAGGGCGATCTTGTCTAATTGGAGGACTTGCTGTTTTCTATGCCTTCTCCCAGAGAGGTTAAGAAGGGGAACTTGCTCCAAGTGGGCTGACGAGGCCCACCCCTATTCATCTGCAAGGCTCTGTGCGCCCCCACGTCGAACGTCACCCGGGGCAACTCATGCTCCAGGGCCTGTGGGACCGGGTGGAAGGAGAGGGCAGCTGAGCCCAAGCCTCCAGGCTCCTCCCTGCCAGAGCCCGCTTCCCTCACTGCCCTTCTCCTGAGCGCTCAGCACCCCAGTTTTCTGTACCCCAATCCTAACTGGGCCTCAGACAAGGAAGCATTGGGACATCTGGATTGGAGCCGCTTCTCTTCAGGAAGAGTGGGGACTTAGGGATCGGACCTAGGTGCGAGCGCGGCTCTGTGTAGGGTCCAGCTTTGGAGGCAAAGCCTCAGGGTCCTCCCTGGGAGAATGGAGGTATCGTAACGACTACGGTGAGGACTGTCAGGTGATGTGTGCTCAGTGCCAGGTGCAAAACAGGCGCTCGGAAGATGTGAGCTCTCCCAGGCTCACACGACTGATGACTCACGGCAGAGCCAATGTGCTCAGCACTGTGTGTCTCCCCACCTGACCCCCTACCCCATCCATGGCCATGTTTCGTTTGAGAAGCAGGTGGCTGTCATCACGGGGAGCAGTGCAGCAATAAGGAAGGGTCGGACCTAACATGCCGAGTCCTTTCCGGCGAGGCGCCCTCCCCAGAAGTTTCCAGGGTGCCTGGGGAAGCACCCTACCCTGGTCCATTTGGGGGTCTTGAGGAGGAGGAAGGCTGGGGCCCGGGGTGTGTGAAGAGTGATGGGAGGTGAGGGACCAGGGAGAGCGGACGGTCAGAAGTGGCCTTGGGGCTGCGGGGCGTGTGCGGTCCAGGAGGAAGTGCAAGGACTGATGCCTTGTCCTGGAGAACCAGCACAAGCAAGGCTGTGGTACGGGGGACAGCACGGTGGGGGGCCAGGGGCACCCACGCAACAAGGAGCAGTGGGGGGCCAGGCAGAGCACACGCCATCCAGACGCCCTGAGGGGACTCACTGGGAGATGGTGCCCGTGGTGGTGGCGCTGATCACCCACTCCAGGTCCAGGGTCTTGAAGGGGACCAGGATCATGTTGACATTCTCCGCCAGCTCCCTGAAGCTCTCGGGGTACACGAGATGGTGGGTGGTCTTACTTCCCACGTCGGCCTCAAACCCCGTGGTGGGGGCCTTGTTCATCCTGGGAGGAGAGGGGGGAGAAGAACACACATCGTACCCATGGGCCCCGATACGGGGGGTCAGTTTTAGCTCCGCCCGCCTGGGGTGTGACCCCGGGCCAATGCCTTCCTTCCTCTGGTTTCGTTATCCATAAAATGGAGACAGTGAAGATGCAGCTGAAAGGCTTTTGCTATTTTCTTCTCTCTTATTAACTCAAGTGAGCTTAACCATTGCCACCACCGATGACCGACTATGTGTGAGGCACTGCCGTGGCCACGTGACGTACCTCATTCAACCTTAAGGATAACCGTGACCAGTGGTCACTACTGCACGGTTGAAGAAATCTGAGTGCAAAGAATACATCCCAGGACACAGAGCTGCCAAGTGGCAGCCGTGAACTCAAGTCTGCTGACCCTGAACCTGACTCCTTCCCCGTCACCATGGAGGCACTCGGTCATTGACCTCCAGGTATGCAGAGGCTCCTAGAGGCCAGGTGAGCGGTCTTCTCAGAACAAAGCCAGGGGTCACAGAAGCAGGAGAAGATTCTAGAAGGTGCCTGGGGATCGCCGGCCCCACTCTGGGGCACTTGTGCCTCTGGGTTGAATGAATGGAGTGGTGGAGATTACCAGAAACCCAGAAGAGACACGGGGCATCTTCCTGGAATATCTGTTTTACATGGTGACAGGAAAATATATTTTACATTAAAAGCATTTAGTTATATCATGGCCTAGATTGCAAAATGGGATGAATTTTAAAGATGAAACGAGAATCTTCAAATTCATCTTGATATCTCGCCAGGCCGCTCGGTGCCAAGCTCCCGGCCCACCGGGCACCTCCCATGCACGGTTCCCTTTCTGTGTCCAGAGAGGCACTTAAAGTCCATCTCCATCCCGTACTGCACAGGTGGGGAAACTGAGGCCCAGAGGGTGCAGTGAGGGGCCTGGGTTCCCAGGTATGTCTGTAAATAACAGGGCTGGGAACTTGACGTCCTGACCCTGAGCCAAGGCGCCTCCGTCAGCTCCCAGGAACCCCTGGGTGCAGCAACGTGGGCCTGGGGTGAAGGTCCGGGCACTCACCTCAGCACGAAGTCGTGACTGTCAATCTGAGGCCCGTACCAGGACTCCTTCAGGTTGCCCGAGTTGCCCACCACAGCACAGCGCCGGCAGCCCACCGACTTCTTCTCCAGGAGGGGGTCCACGTTCCCAGGCACGACCTGGAACAGCTCCTTGATGGTGTCATTCAAGTTACTGGGCTGCTTCTCCCTCTGCAGCCTCTGTGGGCAGAGGACAGAGGGACACAGGTCAGCCTGGCTGCGCTGCCTCTGGCTGGGGGGCTCTGCCACCCTGCTGTTGGGCTCCACATGTGGGAGGTGAATGCACTTAAAAAATGTGGAGGATACATACAATGGAATATCATTCTGCCATTAAAAAAAAAAAAAGGAGCATTCTGATATATGCTACAGCACGAATGGACCTGGAAAACATTATGTGAAATAATCCAGACACACAAGGACAAATACTGTTATGATTCCACTTAGATGAGGTACCTGGAGAAATCAAATTCAGAGATAGAAATGAGCGTGGTGGATGCCAGGGGCTGGACGGAGAGGGGAGTGTTTGGGGACATGATGAAAAAGAGCTGGGTGCCGTCAGGGGTGATGGTTAGGCAACACGGTGAATGTATTAACGCCACTGAAGTGTACACATGTAAATGGTTAAGATGATGAATATTACTTCACCACAATAAAAGTAAAGCAATAATCCAGGATTTAACACCTGCTTCTGATAAGATCTCCTGGGGCAGTGCCAAGCTCCTGAACGCATAACCACCAAGGGCCTCACTGCCGTGCAGAGCCTGAGTCAGTCGGGCTGGGCTGGGCCCCAGAAGCTGCATTTCCGACAGGCTCCCAGGCAATGAGACCAAGAAGCCCTGGAGTAGTGACCACAGCCACGCTCCCCTGCAGGAATCTGCTCGGAGCTCCCCACCAGGAAGGGGCCCTTGGCACCCCAACATTGCAGGTGCCCAGGACCAGAATGTCCTCACAGCACCCTCTGCTCTGATTTACTCATAGCAGATCCCCAATACATAGTTTCTGAACGAACGAATGACCAACATTGTGAATCCTGCAATGCGCCTGGCAGGGCCCCAGGTGCCAGGGGCCCCCCCGCTCACCACCAGCCTCACACTCAGCCCCAGCTCTTACCAGCCACCAGCTGTAGGTGCCTTCTTCCAAGAGTGCGTTCTGCGCCGTCAGCAGCGGCTGCACGGACCAGTTGAACCTCTCATCGAACCAGGACGAGACCTTCCGCTGTCCGATGCAGCGGGCGCAGGTGCAGGGCCTGTGAGAATAGGTCATAAGCTTCTTGAGGTTCTCCGAGAGCTCAAGGACCATCTGCTTGGGGAACCAGGCGGAGGGCACTGTGGTGTGGGAGTAGTTCAGGAGGAAGGAGGTGAGGAAGATGAAGAGGACGAACAAGGTGAGCACTTTGAGGGTCCTTTTCCTCACGGCTGCCATGTCTGCTTTCCTGTGTTGGGCTGGAGGAAATCAACTCTGAGGAGGAACCTGGAAGAAAAAAATCCCAGAGATGGAGGCTAGATCACAAGGCAAGGCGGGAATTCCCGGGGGCCCTCAAGGCCTGTTCTGGCTGATTTCACTTCCGCTGAGCAATGGCCACCCCAGTGCACCGGACATCACCCAGACATCAGAAGCTAAGGGGACCGCTCAGGGTGGGATGGTTCTTCTTGCATACAATTTGTCTCTTCCGAAAATAAAGTAGCCAGCTTTGTCAGCAATCCTTAAACAGCCGATAACGTCTCTTGATGAAATGTTAATCAAACTTCTTTTCCCATCCAAAGGGGCTGAGGGCTAATTAATCATGGTGACAGTCCCGGGTCCCTCAGGGGTGAGGACCTGGAAAGAAGGTTCACGGTGCAGGACAGAGAGACTCTGTGGTTATCCCTGTCCTCCGAGAAGGGTGGTGTGTAATGATCCTTAATTAGAGCTCAGTCTGTCCATGCTGTCACCAGAGACGTGGCGGCTGGGCAGCGGGCTTAAAGAAGGCACTGAGGGTTGTCTGTCACCTGCACAGAAAAGGGAGAAGGAAACAGGGTGAAATTCTATACCTTATTAGAAAAAAAAAAAAATATATATATATATATATATATATATATATATATATATATAATTTCTCTGTCCCCACCTCCTCCGGGATGAATTCCATTCTCTTCTGCTCTGTTGCCAAGCCCACGTGGCAGATGGCTATGGACGATTTCTTGGCCCGCTTGAGCCTGCGTGTGTGCTCGTGTACAATGGAGTGTCAACACCTATTCTACAAGGCTGCTAGGGGACACAGAAGTTGTCCCACTCATCCTCCCTGCAACCAGAACCTAGTACATTTAAGCATTCAATTAAAGTTTCGGAACTCAGTCAATGATGCCTGCACACAATTAGAGGTTGCTAAGTACACATTACTTTCTCTCTCTTTCGTTCTTTTCGGATTCTAATTTCAACAACAACAGAAAGGGTATAGGCTTAGGGGTGTCCTAGCTTCTGGCTAGCCCAGCATCCGAACTCTGCCACTTAGCCTCAGTCCCATCATGTGGGCCTTACACGACCCAGGTTCAAGTTCTAGTTTCCAGCTGTGTGGCCTTGGGAAAGTGACTCAACCTTCCTGGCCCTCAGCTTCCTCTTCTATAAAATGGGATAGTAATGCCTCCACTTACAGAATGATTATGAAGGCAAGATAAAATGATAGACGCTGAGCTTCTGGTGCCTATTAGGCCATTGTTAAACTTTAAGTGTCCATTTTCAAGGAATGGAGATTCTTGGATAATCCACTCAGAGCTGGGCGTGATGGCACCCTCATACACATCTATGTCCTCAGATAATCCTCAAAGCGTACCACCAGCTAGATAGGGGTTTCCTGTTTTGGAAGAAAGTGAGGTTCAAAGAGATTAAGTGACTTGGTCGTGGGGGAAAGGAGGAAGTAGGTCTGAATCCAGAGCCACAGACCTCTGATTCCATGAACCTGGAAGGGACTGGGCCACCAGGAATGGGGGCTCTGCTCTGAAGGGGACCCCATCTGCAAACTGGTCTTCAGATGACCATAGTTGGAGGGATAGAGAGAAAGGGGAGTATATTTAATCGAAGAAAGCAAACAGAAACTCCTCAGATGCCCGTAACACAAGTGCCCAGGCTACACCGCTGTCTTCCGGCTTCAGCAGGGAGCCACCGTGGTCACAGCTCTGCACCTGAGCGCGACTCCTTCGTCCTTTGCTTGGACCGTGCCCCCATTGCTGTGTCTAATCAAGTCCTCCCCATCCTCAACCTGTTGCTCATTGATCAGCGGGATATATTTTTCCCAAGAAAGTAACAGTTTGGAAAGTACCTTTTGGTAGAAAGAGGGGCTGCTTAGAAATCAAATTAAATCCACCGTGCTTTCCTGGAGACACAAAGAAGACATGTTGCAACCTCCTGCAACTTTCCTCAACGCCTCAGCTCTGTTGGCAAGGTCATTTTGATTGGCCTCCTGCTCCGTTTTCCACTTGTCACAACAACTGGCTTGTATTTAGAACCCAATGGCATCCGTAATTGTCCCTTCCAGCCGCCCCCGGCCCCTCCATCAAGAAGCAACTCTGTCATCTGAGCTCAATTAACCTTCCAGGGTGGGCTCTGACTTCACTTGGCCAGCATAGGGTCCCCACCCCGTCTTACCAAGGTCATTGGTCCAGGGATGGGACTATGTCCTAATTCCATCCAATCAGAGTACAGCCCCCGACATTTTTAGGGAGGGCAGACGTTTCTTTTGCTCTGGCCAGTTTGATGTTTGGATGTGGAAATCAGAGTTGTGCTAGCCATTTTGCTAGCTCCTGTGGAAGAGGTGACTGCTGAACAGGGCCAGGCATACAGTTAACCCCCTGATCTAGCCACGCCTGCAGCCCACCCTATGTGCTGACCTTTCAGTAACATGAGAGAATAAATCCCCTTTATTGTGTAAAGCAGAGTACTTGTAACTGGAAGCAATATGACTGACCCACAGGTCACAGCTGCTCCTGCCTCTGGGCTCCCGCCCAGGCTGTCCCCTCTGTCCAGAAAAGTCACCCTACCGTGCTTGGCTCTCACTCATTCTTTAGGGTTCAGCTGGCACTGACTCGTAGAGGAAGGCCTGCCCATTCCTGGCGTGAGGAGGGGCCTCCCTGGGCTTCCACGGAGGCCTGGCTCTATTCGGCCTGAGCTGACTGCTTACCTGCCTCCTTTCTCTCTGGGCTGGGCGCTCCACGAGGAGAGAAACTTAATCTCCCTCATTGTTGTGGGCCTGTCACCTGGCACACACATGGCATGAAAGAATGCAGACGAGCATGAGCGGAAAGCCCAGGGCTGGTGATGCAGAGAAGAGATCTGGGCAAGGAAACACAGACCGAGGCTCGGAAGGCTTTGATGGTCACCAGATGGAACCACCCATTTGCTGTGTGACCCTGAACAAGTTATCTAATCTCTCTGAACCACTCCTTCACCTGGAAAGTGGGGCTGATTACAGAGATTCTGCTGCCTTCTCAGGGCTGTCAATCAAGCGAGATCTGTCCCTTCATCCAGTTCACGCGTGATGCATTTGCTGGGCCCTATGCTGTGGAGGGTCTGAGCTGAGGGAGTGACATGGTCTCCCCACATCTGTCTTTGTGAGACGCACAGCCCAGAATGCACTTCCTACGTATCCCAGTGCCAAGGGCAGAGGCCAGCCCACTGAAATAGATGACTGTTACACCGCATTGATCAAATAAGATTCTGGGTGAGACGGTAGGTTCCCCACAAGGTCCTGGCTCCGTGTGAGAGCTCCGAGTGCTCTCAGCTGATGCTAGGGGTGGGATGAGACTTGGGACAGAGGGCAAAGCTGCACAGCAGAATCAGGGGACGGCAACACCCCTTCCTCCCGTCAGCCTGGCATGTCCTGGTAGCCGCATCTCCGAGGCCAGGGTGCTTGCTGGATCCCACCTACCAGCCGAGGCGTCTGGGCTGGCATCAATTAGCACTTTCGAAAGCCCTGGAAAAAGCTGTGTGATTTTCCTGTGCTGTATGAGGTGAGGCAGCCCGCAACACATGGGGAACACCAGGCCTGGCTCCCAAAATGGAACCCAGGCCAAGACGCCACGGGCCAAAGACCTCTGCGTGCCAAGTGTGCAGGGAGGGAGGCTGGCCACACCTCTCCAAAAGCAAAGAGGAAAAGAAGACGGATTAAGGAGGGGGCACAGCTCCCAGTCCTGCCTGCAGCACCACAGCCATCTCACTGTAGAGGCACAGGGATCGTGTGTATGGCAGGTCGCCAGCAGCTCCATGCTGACAAATGCCTGAGCCCTTTTCAAGGACTGCGGACGGATTTCCCTCAGGAGGATTCCTACTAAAGATACCCTCCCCTGGTAATATAGGGCCATGGTGGCCATTACCAGTCGCTGAGAGAAGAGTCGTCTCACATGCGTGGAAAACCACATGAACGGACCGTGTGGGTTTCTGAATGTTTAGCCAACGCCTGCTGAACTGCACAGTCGTTATCCCAGGGCCGGGGCGCCCTCCAGCTCCTCACACAGCCACCCGGGCAGTAGGGTTATAGGTGAAATGGCTGCAGGTCGGCGGGGATATTAGCACTTCTGCTGAAGAGCTGCCACAGTCTGTCCTCCCTGCGATCTTGACACCAACTGGGCGAAATGCGTCATCATGTCTACTTCCCTGAAATGGGAACCTGAAGTGCAGAGACGACAACTGACTTGTCCAATGTCACACAGCGAGATGGAGGCAGAGCCAGCACTATGACACGGGCTTCTGCCTCCTCCTGGGTCTTTCGACGTGGCCACAGCGAATCCGTCTACTTAATCAACACCTTCTCTCATCCTCATGATCTCCTTTCTTGACATTTCTTTGGGTTTGAAATCTGCTGCCTTTCCGACTCCTTAGCTGGATACTACTTTGTTTTCTTCTGCTGTGTCTAATCTATTTGAATGATATGTTACATTCTTCATGTCTGTCCCCGTATTTTTCAGTTCTAGCATTTCCACCTGAGTAATTTTTGTATAAGTTCCAGTTTTCTGGAGAAATGCTCCTTCTTGTCATCTATCTTCCTGCAATTATTCAGCAGTTATTCTCAAGTCCACGTCCATACTTGGGACATTTGGATAACACGTGGGTCTATTTCTATGGTCCGTTGTCTCTGTTTCTCTCTCTTTGGTCATTTGGTTCTGTCCCTTGGCATGGTAACTGTGGATACTGTGTATGGCAAAAATGCAGAGGCTCAGGATGAGGCTGTCCTTATTCAGAGAGGAAGTCGTTTTCTCCTGGTGGGCAGTAGATCAGGGGCACACTACCTTTTTCCAGTTGGTGACTGGGGTGACCAGAGCTGCATTTTAGTTACTTATGATGACTGGTCACTCCTGGTTTGCTCTTACTGATAGGGTGTAGTAGCCCTTCTCAAAGCATAGCTGAGGTGCCTACTAAGGGACCCCTTCCTTGTAGGATGTCATCTCCAGTTTCTGTCTGCCCTGCACTGGCAGATTGCCAAAAGCTAGGTCTAGCCTGTTAGGCTCTCGGCTGCTGTTTCTGGCTTGGTTTTGCAGGCCGTGGTCCCATGCATCTTAAACACTGGCAAATGCCTTTAAAGGAACAAGAGATGCAGAATAATGACTCTCTTCTCTGTGCTTCCCTTTGCTCCAGGTTCTTGGTTGCTCAGGTTTTGGCTGACTTGGTCGTCCTGAACTCTTTATTATTTTATCACCGCCCCTCTTTTGCTTCTGCCTGGGATCTTCGCCCCACAAGGCCTGGCTGCCACGGTTGTTCTCTCACGCCTTCAGAGCTGGATTCCTATCTTAGCCAGTTTTTATTATCCTCAGTGAAAGAACTGTTTTGGCCCAATCTTCTGCCATAGCCAGAAGTGAAAGCCACGGTGTCTTTCCTCGGCCTCTCTGTGTGCCTGGTGCCTGGTGTGGCATCCTGCACATGTCAGGGGCTTGGCACATCCGGGGAAGAGGAAGGGGCTCAGAGAGGCCCCAGAGGTGCCAGGAAAAATCTCCGCACACCAGCGGAGTGAGCAGATCGTGGGATGGAAGGGAGCAAATGAACAGGTCGGCGGGTTGCAGCTACAGTCTGGTCTGCCACCACCCCGGTCACCTTTCCAACAACTTTGTATGTGCCCCTGAATCGAATCCTTCTGCCTGAAGCTTCGCCTCAGTTTCTTCCTCCATAAGCTTGGTACCGACCTCACAGGGCTGTGCCGAGAAGGACATGAGGCCGTGCCGGTGACGTACTCTGAGCGGTGCCTGGCACGTTGCGAGTGCGCCTGCATGTTAGGTTTCACTACTGAAACCCCTCCCGTAGTTTCCATCTTCCTACGCAGAGTGCCTTTGAACACCCACACCCCCTTTCACGTCTGCCCCATTTCAATTGACAGATGTGGACGCTGAGCTCAGAAAGGGGAAGTGATTTGTCCAATGACACACAGTAAACGTGTACCAGCACTGAGAGAAGGGACAGGCCCCAAACTCCAAGATGTACCCGGCTCCCCTGGCATGACACGTCCCAGCGGAAGCTCAGAAGGCATCATGGATTGAAAATGACCAAAGAAAAAGGAGGCAGAGGCTGGAGGTGCAGAGACCTGGGAGCTGGTCCGGGTGCCGCAGCTAGGGGTGGGACCCTGCAGGGGAAACCCGAAATGCACCGCGTGCATCCTTTGCATTATGACTCCAGGGACATCACATGGGCTGAGCATCAAGTCCCTCATCTGTAAAATGATAAAAACTGTCCCTTCCTTTGAGGTGGCTGCACGGAGCACTAATTAATCTATTCACTGGACGGACAGCCACCATGTGTGGAGAGCTTTCCCTTTGTCAGTCCCTGTCCTAAGCACAACGGTGGATCAAACTGCCTGAGCCCACACCACCGTGGAGCGAGTGCTAAGTGCTATCTCCATCTTTCAGAGGCAGGAACAGAGGCCCGCCTCTGCCTACAGGGCCGGGATTCCAGCCAAGGCAGAGAGCCCAGTGAGCGGTGCCTGGATGGGGGTAGCTCCCTGCCCTGAGCCTGGCGTCTGAGCTAGAGGAGAGGGATGGTGACCATCGCCGCTCAGCGATGGCAGCGTGAACACTACACAGGGTTGCGTGTGGCCCAGCTCAGGGCCTCGCACGGGCCGGGCATGTGTCTCATTTCCCTGTTTTGTTCTCTCCCTGGTCAGCTCACTCCAGCTCAGCTCCGCCCGCTGAGTCACCCAGGAAGTTGGCCGTTGTGCTCCTGCAGTCCAGCCCAGACCTGGACCCACTTGTCGGGTCCTTCCTCCCTGGGTCAGGAAGAATGGGCCGCAGCTGCAGCCAAGCCAGTTCTTCCAGAAAACATCATCCAAGAGAAACCCAGCCTCGGTGAGGCAAGGCCTAGGAGGTAGACATAGCAGTTCATACATATAACTCTCTGTGCCTCCAAGGAGGAAACAACAGGGAACCCAGTGATTCGGGCAGTGGCAGACTGGGGACAACTCAAGGGAGAGGGAAGGCTCTGTGGGAGGCGGCCATGGAGACGGACCTTGAAGACAGGGGGAGCTCTGATGGAGGAGAGCGGAGAGGAAGGGGTAAACCAGGCAGCTCCCCAAAGCACAGGGTGCTGGTGGTGGTGATGGGGGCAGCTGGCACAGTTAAGGAAAACAGGGTGCCCTTCAGAACGGTGGTGATGGGAGGGGAGGTCACGGAAGTCTTTAGGAATGTGGACTTGGGGATGAAGGCAATGGGGACCCAATGAGAGCTTGTGAGCAGCAATATGGAGGCTGGACTGGAGGGGGTGCACAGGACGCCCCTGGAGTCTAGATAGTAGCCTCGTCTCCATCTTGGTGTCTTGGGAAGCCCGTCTCCTTGGGGGCCTCAGTTTCCCCACTCCCTCCTGCACTGATTTGACCATGCCCAGGTCCCCCACACCCAAGAAGAGCCGGCAGGTTGGGAGAACCCTTTCTTGCGCTTGCAAATCCTCCTGTGCTTACCCTAGTACCTCTCGCTTGCTCCTTTGTGGGGAGCTGGAAGAGAAAGCAAAGGTCCCCTGAGGCATGACTAGAGGTTCAGAATGGGCGGTTTGGAGACGTGCTCCCAAGAAACTCGATTAACCAGGATCAGGGCCATCTGACCAACAGCTGGGTACACTTTCCTACTTGGAGCTGCGCAAAAGGAATTTAAATTCACAAACCTCCTTATGTGTGTGTGGAGTGAGGGGTCCTATCTTCAGAGACCTAAGACATCCATATAACATTCGAAGCGTGAAATGTGGTCAGGAATTTAGGGTGTCACACTGCATGCACATCCAGGCTGACAGATGCCCCAGGGGGTGGGGAAAAAAAAAAGAGAGATTTTCCTGATTTGGGTGGTGCAGAAGTCATGCCAATTGAAAGGCAATGCAGGACTATGAAGCCCACTCCACCCCTGCCTCGGTGGTCTGTCCCTGGTAATAAGGAGCTTATGAATGAATGAGAAGCCGGGGTCCTGGCTGGTCTGGAGCAGACGTTTAGACAGTTGACATGAGGCTTAAAGAGATAACTTTCCTCCCAGGCCCCCTGACTTCCATGGGGAGATGTTAACCCTCATGCTTCACAAGCGCATTCCAGAAGGTTCCTGAAGGGCTTAGGAGACAATCTCTGTGGCGCCCAGAGTGGGGAGTCAGACTTCAGGATAGACCCAGCTACAAAGTGGTGAGAAGCCTGGGATAGACGGGAACCCCAGACAACTAACATGCGTCTGGCATGAACAATCCCAGAAACCAAGGGTTGGAGGGATGTCATGGCATCTACTGAGGTCACTGGGGTAAAGCTGCCCTGGACCAGCCCCCCGGAGCCCTAACCGGGCAGCTCAGCAGAAACAGTTAGCCGTTCAACTCCGCAGCACGCTGGGCCAAGCCACCTGCCTTCCTGAGCCCTGTTACTCAGGAAAGACCTTGCCCCGTGGACAAGGCATTGCTGTGAAGGCCACTGAGAGGACTGGGATCATGGGCATCTGGAGTAGATGGGCAAGGGTCACATCACAGGGGCCAGGGAGCTTGCAGAGCAGCTGAGACCAGGCAGCCGGGGGAGGCTCAGGGCAGGAAAAAGGAGACAACATCGGGCAGCCTGGGGCAGCAGGGGCTCAGTGAGCAGGGCAAGAGTGACCTGGCACACCATGGGATGCGTCCCCAGAGCCTGGAGAACAGGGGTGGGGGTGGGGGGGCCGGAGCCAGAAACAGAGTGAGATACCAGCTTTAACATCTCCCCATTTGCACCCACAGCTGGTGAGTCCTGGAGAAACCCACGCTAATACGTGTCGGCAAAGGAGGTTTGGGGACCTATCCCTACTGTCCACAGCTGTGTGCCAGGCACCGAGCTAGGTGCTTCTCCCAGGGTGCTCATTTCATCCTCACAACAGCAGTGCAAGGGGGTGCTGCTTTCTCTTTCATATGGAGGCTGAGGGCTCTTGTTCAAGGGCCACAGAGAGTGAGAGACCCAAGATTCAACTCAGAGTCTAAGCCTGCACAGCACTGGCTGTGTCTGCGGGGAGGCCCATCCCTGCGGCGCCTGTGTTTTACACCAGGTAGGGGATGTTTGGGACTAGGGAACCCCCAGAAGGTCCTCTCCCTCGCGGGAGCTTCGCGGCCCCCAGTCCGCTTCCCACCCGTGTCATTAGAAGTTACCAAGACGCCTCATCACCCAGCACTTACTGGCCGGGTGGGGACTCAGCCAGGTTCAAGGACCTGCCCTTTAGGGCCATCCATCTGGTCAGCAGTGGATGGAGGCAGAGAACTCAGGTCCAGATGCAAAATGGAAAGACGACGGTGGGAGTTGCAATTCCAAAACCTAATTAACTGTGAGACCTTGAACAAGCCCCACGGCCCCACCAAACCATACCTTGCCCTTCTGTGCACACTAGAAACAAAGGCACACACACGTGCTAGGGGTGCGGAGAGGGTGGAATGCGACAGTGGAGCGCTTTGGCCTCAGCGGGGGCCCGTAGCCTGTTTCTGTCTCTACATTCATCCCATTGAGAATGGACATTTCCTGAGCTCTGTTCCTGTTAACTCACTGAATACTAATATACCCATTTTACAGAGGAACAAATGGAGGCCCAGGGAGGTTAAGCCGCTTGGCCCAGTGTCGTGTTTCATTAAGAGTAAAGCTAAAAGGTGGTCTGAGCAGCCCAGCCGCAGAGCCCCAGCTCTGCATGCTAAGTATCTACTTCTCAGTGTCAGTCTGAGCTAGTCTCACAGCTGGGGCCCTGGATGGAACCCATACCCTCCCCTGCAGGTGTGTCCATGGTGACAGGGGGACGCAGTCCTACTCCCACCTCCGCCCCTCTCCACAAAGCGCTCACCACTGCTACTCACCCTCTATCCAATGGAGGAGGCAAGTCGGGCACAA